ACCACCATGCTATTACAAATAGGGTTAAATTATATGTTTACTTCCTAATTGAGTATATGGTATTCTAAATTTTCATATGATGCAATTTTTTTCTTGGATGTTTGAAAATGGTGTATTGAACATCCTATATTTAAAAAAAAATTAATTTTGACAATTAGTTGATTTAAAAATTGCAAAAAGAACCTAAAAAAGCTAGAGCAAGAATATAATAGCATCCAACAAGGCCTGACAGGAATGGAAAAGGTAATAAAAACAAGAGTTGCAGGCAAAAAAAATTGATGTTAAACAAGAAAATGCAAGCAATCTAATCTTCAAACTTCATAAGTTATATTAGGGTGGTGGCTAAGACTATTGTGCCTATGACAGCAAACTCATGGTACAAAGTGGATTATGCCACAAAAGATCTTGTTTGGGACACCTTGACTATAAATTGCATTTTATTAAGTATATTTTATTATATTTTATTTTTAAATTGATATATCTGACATGTTTATTTTATTTTATAATTAGGATTTGAAATTGACAAGAGCAAGAAGGACTTTGTCTTGCAAAAGATTGGGATGGTACTGCAGTTTTTTAGATATTTCATCATACAAATATATTTGAAAGATCCTGACATTGAATTTGTAGCTTGAGTTCTTCCTACATTGCAGCTTTTGGTAAAACAAGAGGATTGAGATGCTTTTATTGTCTCACAGCTCAAAAAGGAATTCAAAGCATTAATATTTCTTAAATTATAATTTTAGTGCATTTTATTGATTGTATATTTATATATGTATTGATTGAATTTTTTTGTTATTTGCTAAGGAATTGAGTGTTCAAAATAAAGAGCGAGCGGTTAAAAACAAATATCTTTATAGAGCAGGAAGGTTAGAGTATGCAGGCATTGAGTAGAAACCTATACAGAAGGAGAGATTAGATGTTACCATATCCCATTAAAAGCTTTAGGCACTGGCATGATATAACAAAGAAGGATTTATTGACAACCCTTATGTGAAGGAGGCTACCGATAAAATTATAACAAAAAAGGAATTATTGACAATCCCTGTGTGAAGGAGGTTACTAATAAAACTGTAAGTATTATTCTTATATATCAATTAAGAATTTATTATGAGCATGCAAACTAATCATATTTACTTTGCACAGGATTCCATCTCTTAGGAAGTCTCGCACGGCAAGCTTCATGAGCATAAGGATATCTTGACCACGACGTTAGGGAATGCTGACCACCCTAGCTATGTCAGGGGTGTTGGCTTTGGCATCACGAATAAGAAATATTTTGGTAAGATAAAAAAGCAAATATTAGCTTCTTCATTCAAGGTCCAAGAGTTGCGAGAAAAGCAAAAAGTTATGAAAGAGCAGCTACAAGCCTAAGCAACTCTAATTGACATGCTGCTTAAAAGCCAAATTGCTTGGACAATTTTGGGTGAGATTAGTCCTAGCGAGAAAGATAGCTACCAGTTCCTTTAGAAAAACTACTCGAGATAATATGTTTTATCTTCTAAATTTACTTCACTTTTTAATCTTAGAAACTAATTGCTATTGTTTGTTTAAGGTGAGAACGATTACAACTGTCTGGCAAACAATCCTTTAAGCATAGTGGTTGCAACAGGGCACCTGAGGACATGAGCCATAACCATCCCATCCCTCCCAATTACATGAGGATTTCTTTGTTTATTGCATTTAACTCCAAATATCCATTGCTTGTTCTTATCAATAAGGCATAGATGTTAAGAGATGCCATAGGGAGCTTCATTGCATGGCCTAGCTAGCTTGTAATGATGATAACACCTAAGCGAACAAAGGACCCATTACAGCCAAAGAAAAAATTATGGTTAAATAATTGTTTAAAATCTTGTAATATAATTATACATATTTAACTTTTTTGTTGTACAGTTGAGGGGGAAGAGTAACTTGAAAGGTAAGGTGTTTGACTACACCAAAGAGTTAGCCATAATTTCGCAACACCCAACACTAGCACCTATTGTAAAACATAAATACTATGGCTCTCTTGAGACTTATGCGATAGTTATGAGAATGGCTCATCAAGTGATGATTAGGATGTAATTATTTTTTATAATGGGCTATACGAAAGATTGAGCTCATTTGAAATTGTTTGGGATAAAATTTTAAATGAAATCCTTTAGCATAAAATGGAAAGCACTAGTTTAATGAACTTATACTAGAGGTAATTCTTCAATAATACTCGATTAATTACTTAAATTATATATATGCATGCGTGCTCATACTAACCTATTTATTTTTTCACCCAAGTCACTTTATACCTCATTGATGGTTCCTGATAGCCTTGAGTTGAGGTTTAAACTAGTTAATATCCACGATGTCTCTTCCCACAATGATATTACTAAGAAAACTCTTGAAGATCAAGTAAGAAAGCTTTCTAATCAATTCAAGGACAAGGGAGAAACAAGAATACTTTAGTTCTTGCTCCTTATTACCAAGGGTGAACTGCTTTCTATCTACTTTTGATACGAGTAAATATTTTTTATATTTACTAGCAGGGATGTACATATGTTATACTTAGAGGAAGCAATTGCCCCCATCAAAAAGGTAAAAATTTTATTTAAGGTTTAGTCAAAATTACATTTTTCCCCTCTTTAAAATTACAACTGCTCTCGTAAAAGATAAATTGCTCCATACTCTTTTCAAAATTACCAAGCATATATTTTTAAAATTATTTTTTACTAGTATATTCATTATAAAAATATATTCATGATACAAATGACATTAATATGTATTTAGCTAAAATATACTTTTTATTCTCTAATCTTATACTCTCTCCGTTAAAAAATGTAAGATATTTTTAATCAAATCTCACCCTCTAATAAAGTAATTATCTACTTTTCAACTAACCTTACCTTTTCATATTTATCCCTGTTAAACACCCTACAATAAATACAAAGTCATTATTAATAGGGGTACTTTTGAAAAAAAGGTAATGATTACACCTCAAAAGACTAAAAATGCCTTACATTTTTTAACATCTAACTCATCAAAAAATGCCTTACATTTTTCAACGGAGGGAGTATAAGTTTTATATAATCCCTAACACTACTAGAGTTAAATGATTATTTTTCATGCTAATCATTGTTATTTTAAAAAAATTAAACTTAATCTGTTAACATTTGAATATATTTTATTGATATTTAAAAGTTTAATTCAAGAATTTCTTGTTGATGAAATTAAATGTGTTAAAATTAAAGGACTAAAAATATATTTTATAAAATTAAGATATCAAAACAAAATCTCATATAAATTAAAGGGCTAAATATGTACTTTAATCTATGTATTTTAAAACTTTTCATATAATTTATTAATATATTATTTTAATTAATATTTAGAATTATATTTTCTTTGAAATTATTAATATTTATATTTAGTATAAATTTTGTCCTTTCTAACAAATTTTCCTGAGTCCGTCACTGTTTACTAGCTTGTTTCCTAATATTTATTATTTTTTGTTGAGGGGCATTGAATGTTTATTTTGCTTAATCTTGTTACTCTAAAAGCATGGTATATCGATCCTCTTAATAAAGAACCAAATAATAGGCCATATATGGTATAACTTTTTAATAAGTAAGTTGAAATTTTTTTTCACTTTTTTTTTGTTATTTTAATTTTCACACACACACACACACATTTTCTCACATTTATTCTTTACGTCCTTCTTAAAGATGTGGTGTTTTATCACACTATAACCAACAAGACCTTATCCCCTAACTTAATGACATTGTACTCTTGTGAGAAATGGATTACACTAAAGATATTTATTTAATTGATTAAGTTTTTAATCAAAAAAATGTGGCCTATTATACCATTTCATTGATATATGGTTTTTTTATAGCGCCACTTTAGCTAAATCAAAGTAATTATTATGATTATTACCTGATAAGATTCATGAAGGACATGACCAGCCATGCCCCGATCACATTACTTGATAAGGTATATATTAAACTTAATTACACTTAAATTATAAATTTTAACCAACTTTAATTGGCTAGCTATTCACTTAAATTTGTTGTGATTCTTTACATATAATATTTTGAGGACATCTACTACATTTGATATGCAATTGTATATATAGAGGTCCTTGAAGAGATGGCACAAACTAAGTTCAACATGTGAATAATGATAGTAGTTAAGCCTAATAGTTAGTTTAGGCATATATATATATATATATAACTCATATTCATTTTTTAGCTATTTTTTTTTGGTCTTAAGCCACTTAGTTTTAGAATTTTAATTTGCAATTTAGTTAAGATTATAGATATAGATTTTTTATGGTTTAAGGTATAAGAATTTTAATGTATTTGGATAGCAATTTTAATAGAAATAGTGATTATTTATTTTTGTTTGTTGACTAGTTATTATGTGGTTGATTTTGGTGTAAAATTGTAAGGAATCTGCTTGAAAAGCAACTCCCCTATGAAAGAAATAATATAAATATTTAATAATTATTTTAAAACAACTATTAAGTATACTTACATTTGATAGTTATTACACAATAACAGTCAAGTATTTATGATAAATTTTCACTAAACTTAGCCTAGTTTTTACCACAAATAATTGACTTTTTTATAATAATTTTCAAGTATTTAAAAATATTTAAATATTTGACAGTTTTTTTTAAAATAATTATTAAGTATTGACTTTTAAATTTGAAAGTCATTATATTTGACTATTCAAGTAAAGGGAGTTGTAAGATATGACATTCTCTTATTTAATAGTTAATTATATTTGACTATTCAAGTAAAGGGAGTTGTAACACGTGACATTCTCTCATTTGATAGTTAATAACCTTTAAAGTAGGTCAAAAAAATAACAATTAAGTAAGGGAACGTTTTGTAGTTGTGCAAAGTAACAAGTTTGTGAAAAAAAACATTTCAAAATTATAAGGCCATAAAGTGTGATCATCTTCCGCCTTCAATGACTTTCTCCCTCTGAGAAAATCTCGAAAATAATCTCAAAGGATTTGGTGGAAGTCGGCCAAAAAAAAAAAAAAAGACAAGAAGGGCTGGAGGAAGATCTCTGTCAAAAACGACAAAGATTTCTGAGGACAAAGATTTGGTGGACGAAGCAAGGAAATTGCAAACTTGCTAAAATTTGTAAACCAAATATACGCTTCACTCTATCGTGCTCTCTCTTCAGTCTTCACTCACTCTGTAGCTCTCATCTCGATTTTTTTCTTTGCTTTTCTTTTCTGTCTCAGGTGCTGTTGTTGTCTTTTTTTTTTTTTTTTCTTTCCTTTGATAAAAGCTCTCATCTCGATCCTCAGAAATGGCGAAAGTGGGTAGGATCAAGCTCGGGTCACAAGGCTTGGAAGTCTCCGCCCAGGGTCTGGGGTGCATGGGCATGTCCGCTTTCTACGGGGCTCCGAAACCCGAACCCGACAAGATCGCTCTCATCCACCATGCCGTCCAAAGCGGTGTCACATTTCTCGACGCTTCCGACGTCTACGGCCCACACACCAACGAAATCCTTCTCGGAAAGGTATGATCGATACGAATTCCCTTTCCTTTTGTTGATTCTTCATGTTTGCTCTGATTTGTATTGCTAATTTGGTATGAATTCAATTTCTTGGGATAGGCATTGAAAGGAGGTGTGAGAGAGAAGGTTGAATTGGCCACCAAATTTGGAATCAGCGTTGAGGACGGGAAGAGAGAGATCCGTGGGGATCCTGCATATGTGAGAGCGGCTTGTGAGGCGAGCTTGAAGAGACTGGACGTCGATTGTATTGATCTCTACTATCAGCACCGTGTTGATACTCCTGTGCCTATTGAAGTCACGGTTTGTTGGCCTTCTCTCTGCTTTCGGTTTTCTTCTCCTTCTATCGTATTGTGATTTACAGTTTACCGTTTTGCGTGTTTCACCTAAAATCAGATTGATCCGTGTGGTTTAGTAGACTTTCAAAAGACGTCTTTTGTCTTAGTGTCTTGCTCTGGGGGAAAAAGGAAAAAAAAAAAAAAATGTCTTAGTGTCTTGCTAACGGCATTGAAAGCCTTTGAAACTTTTTTAATATGCACAAATAAAATTACTTTTAACAGAAAATTATTCATCATTTTAATTTTAATATATTTCCTTTGGTTACGTGTACGTGGTGACTAAATATTGGAAGGGTGTGGAACCAAATATTAGAACCCTTGGGAGACGAACTGATTTTGTTATTTCAAATGTTATGCAATATAATATAATTTAAATATATTATTCAGAAAAAACATAGGTGTAACAAGCACTGGGCGCATTGTAGACGGTTGAGAAACCCTCCTTCTTGGTTCTGCTTTTTCAATAATTCATTATTCATTATTAATTTTCATTGACAGTACAGGATGTTGGACATTCCAGTAACATGTTATCTTATAAATATTTTTGCCGTTTTGAAATGGAATAGTATGGAGCTAATTTTAATCCACTAAGACAATTTTCCCATAAAGGAGAAAAAAAAAGCTTGATTGGGATTTGGGGACGCTTTTTACTACCTTAATCCGGGTTTCTGATTCTCTTTTTGGATTTTAGATTCCGTTCTTTGGATTATTGACAAAAGATTAAGAAACACTTTTTCCCCTAATGACGTATGAATTTCTTACTGATTCCTTTCTTCTTTCTGTACCTTCTGCGTGTGAGAGTTGATCGATACATATGAGGTCCATGACCTAGGGAGTGAAGAGTTAGGAATAGCCGGATAAGGATATGGGAAGCAATAGTGGTTGAACCCAACGACAATATGCACATGTTAAATTAAAATTAAAAGGTTGGAATTAAAAGAGATGCCACTTACAGAAAATTGGCAAGGAACTGACGTGCATCCGTCTAAACATGTACATGATGTTGCTGTTAGAGAAAGAAATTAATGTTCTTTAATTTTTGGATTTGCTATCTTGTTTGAATATCTTTTGATGATTGATAAATGCAAACTTTCTATTTTATTGGTGATAAGGTTGGGGAACTTAAAAAACTTGTTGAGGAAGGAAAAATAAAATACATTGGATTGTCTGAGGCCTCAGCTTCAACAATTAGAAGAGCACATGCTGTTCATCCTATAACAGCCGTGCAATTGGAGTGGTCCTTATGGTCAAGAGATGTGGAGGAAGAAATTGTTCCCACCTGCAGGTGATATTTAAACGATAGAAAATTTTTTATTTATAATATTTGTTATTTCTCCATGTTGCAGCTCTTGACTAAACTGCGACAAGTGTTTATCTTTATGACTTCTGATTTGGTTTGTTATGTTCCCAGGGAGCTTGGCATTGGAATTGTTCCCTATAGTCCTCTTGGACGAGGATTCTTTGCATCAGGAACAAAGTCAACTGAGAACCTGACACAGGGTGACTTGAAGGTTTGTGTTGATTCATGCTATTCCATAGTTTTTGTGTACCATAATTGCTTCTTGAAATAACTACTTCCTGTTTTACTGTAGCACTCCTGTGTATGAAAACATTAGTCTGATATTTAATTAATCCTAGGTAAGTAGTTGCCAGCTATGCGTTGCAGTAATGCAAAACAATGGTCTTTGACATAAAAATTTTGGTCACTGGCTTTTTGTCATGGGGAACTGGGTTTTGGCTTGACCACAATCTTTTGGGAGAAAAAAATAATATGGCTAGAACCTTTGATCTGTACCATAATTTCTCAGGGCAGCACTCCTGTGTTTGAAAACATGGCTCTTATATTGAATTAATCCTACGTAACATATTCTTGGATTCTGTCTCTGCATACCGACATATTCTTTCATACCATTTTTGTTGGCTAGATTGTTTGAATCGGGTTGGGGGTTTGAAAAGCATAAATGTTATGTTTAGTCGATAAAAGTTCTAATAAAATCAAACTTACCAACTTAAAAATCAAAATCAAGCTTGCCACTTATAACCTTTTTTTAATACCTCAATTTACAATTTAGAGTTATACGTGAGTTTGACTTGATTATGCATAGCACCTATATACATAAGATCTAAAAGGCTTAAGCATTACTGAAATACACATTGAAATGTCACTATCAAGGCATTTAAGTGGCTAATCACTAATGTTTGATGTAACCGTACTGAGTCACTTGACTTAATGCTAATGCATCATTAGTGCTCCTGACTTAAAATTAGAGTTTAGAACTTTGGAGGACAGTCAAGTTAGTATTTTTAGTAATAAACGATTTTGCCGTGAATAACCTTACATTAGTAGAATATCTTTGATTTATTCTCTATTTTATGATGCATGATGATGATATATCTGATTTTGATCAATTAATTGAAGTCTCTTGACTGAAATATTGGTGATGGTGAGGAACTTTTGGTGCCCTTACTGGAGAACACTGATAAGTAGAACCCCAAGTTCTTCGTCCTGGACCCTGCAGTATTTTTTATGAGAAACAGTGAAAGGAAATTGTAAAATAGGAATAGCATATTGCTTGAAGTATTTGTCTTTTTGTTTCAGTCCACAGGATCAATGTGAGATGTTTGACATGTTTTGCAAAAAACACACATTATTTTAATTTAAAATCTTAACGATGAATAAAGTTTATTAGCATATGTTCCACCTATAGACAAGATATGCTTATGAACTGGCTTTAAGTACCTATTTGTCAACTTTATATCTAGGTTCATTGAACCATTGCGCAACCATTACAACTATTATGAGATTATGGCTACAAAAGATAATTGGAAAATAAGAGTGAAGTAATCTCATAACATGCTATGAGTCATGGGAATAAATAAAGAACATGCTATAAGTCTATGACTCTCTTGTGCCTTGCTTGGTGCTGCATCAAGATTTATAACATGTGCTACTTGCACTTTTTTTCGATGTAAACGAGAGAAAAAATTATCCACATTTTTAATGTTCATTATTGGTTGTTTGGTATCTAGATATAATCTCATTGATATGTATGTGCATTTCACCTAATTGCAGTATTTGCCTAGATTCCAGCCTGAAAACATGGAGCACAATAAAACTATATTTGAGAAAGTTAATGAAATGGCTGCAAGAAAGGGATGCTCTCCATCCCAGCTAGCATTGGCCTGGGTTCACCATCAGGGAAATGATGTGTGCCCCATACCTGGAACCACCAAAATGGAGAACTTCAATCAAAATATTGGGGCTTTGTCAATCAAGCTGACACCAGAAGAAATGGCACAGCTGGAGTCTTTTGCTGCTGCTGATGCTGTCAAAGGTGATAGATATGGGCCTGGAATAGTTACGTGGCAGATCTCTGAGACTCCCTTACTTTCCTCTTGGAATGCTCCATAAGGAAGTACATATGCTATGCTTAATTACTGCGAACTTGAACAAACTGTTCTGTCCGAGGTGCGCATGCCTTGCCTTGGAAAGGATCTCGTTGTATTGATCCTCTTAGGTTGTATGGTTTTGTGTCGTTTGAAAGCTGTTTGAATGATATGGCACGTAAATGTGTGTATGCATGTCAAAAAAAGCCAAGTCATCTAGTGGTAGACCTAGTAAAATTAGGTAGTGGGGGCAAAAAAATTTCCCAAGGTAAATACTAATTATTTTTTAAAATACTTAAAATTTAAATATTTATTGTTTAAATTATTACCCCCTCCATTAATTTAAGATTATATCATATGCATATTTGAGTAAAATAAAATTTTTAATGGGATAAATGAACTCTTTTGAGGGGAAAACTGAATTATTCTCTTTAGGAGAGGGGGCAATTGGAATTTTGTGAGGGGGGCAATTGAAATATTTAGAGTTATTATATTTAATTTTTTCTAGCCTTGTTGACCCATAAGGTCTAATCTAAGTACGTCCCTAGAGTCATCAGACATTGTGGAAACAGTCAGTTGACTCTTATTGTAAATGTTGGGAGCATCGTCTTGGCAAATTAGCTTGGTTATGTTTTGCATTGAGTTGCATCAGTTGATCTTTGAGCATTTGTCCAGGTTACTGTTATTTAGTTTAAATGGGAGCTGGGCAGCACCATTGAGTGCATGCTAGAGCACAAGAGCTTCTGGGAAATGGATTAATGGCAATTATGACACTGGCTGTTCTTAATAAATTCTCTTCTTGGGTCAAATGGGGACCTGACGATATGTCATGTGAAAGCAAGAGAATGAATTATCAAATTCCATGGGAAGGAAAAAGGGTCTGTATTGTTGGGAAAGCAAAGAGAAAAAAGGGTGAGGAAGAGAACTAGTTCATGTATAAGAACAAAAGATTCAGTGAAACTTTTTAAGATAGCAGTGGAACAGGAGTGGATATGAAATTCAGCCTTTTGCTTTTTCTAATATCAGTCTCTCTCTTTTATTGACCAGCTAATCCCAGTCTTTCTCTCGTCACTGTGCAGGAGCATGTGTGATATGTAAAACGAAAAATTGAAAATAAAATACATCTTATATTTTTATTTTAAATAATATAAACAAGGAAAAAATTGATATACTTGACAAGATTTGGGTACAGACTTCTATGTATGGAAAGATCTTGAACTCGATAATCTATCTAGTCGAGGGTGAAGCTAGAATTTTTAATTAAGGGGGCCGGCAGTACATAGTGTATACAATAATGGAAGGAAATTTATATATATATATATATATAATATAATATAATATAAATATTTCAACATAGTTATATTCAGTTTTACAAATATAAAACCACCATGAATATGTGTTTTCATTTTTAAAATTGTACTCGTCCATTTTCATAGCATAGAACTCATGAATAAATAAAAATTATTTTTTCCAATCTTTACAAAAATTTGACATATAGTCAAGTTTTGAAAATTAGAATCTTTGGGCACATCAAACTCATAATGTTATAATGCATATTCCAATCAAATTTTTTTATTTTTATTGATTAGAAAAATTTGAAGAGTAAATTTTCTTAACAAGATTGCATATGTTCCTAGCATTAAATAATATAAATGAATTATTAAAATTTAAGTTTGTGCTTAATTTAAAAAGCACTTGTACTTGCTCATTGAATTTATCATTTAATTCATTCAATTGATAATTTATGATGATAATAAATATATCAACATGGTAACAATGATCACGTAGAGTAGATCTTACATTTAGTATTTGTTTTTTAGATGAAAAAAAAAATCCTCTTTTCAAATATTATTGTATGTTTAGTAACTAGGTTAAATTTTGTTAATGCCAAATACATTCAAATATATTTTGGGGGTTGAAAATATGTACTCTCTCTATTAAAAAAATTTAAGACATTTTTAATTAAATCTCATTCTCAATGAAGTAGTTAGTTGTCTTCAAACTAACAGTATCATTCCATGCTTATCTCTATTTTATAGAGTGTTTCATTTTAAAATAAATATAAAGTGATTTATTTATTATGGGTGCTTTTGAAAAGAAATATATTAATTGTAACATCCTAAGTTTCTAATTTGGAAATTATTAGTGTTTATAAGAATAATTTGGTCAAATTAGATGAATATTGATTAATAATGTATATGGGAAATTAATATAGTTTTTAGGTCTTTGGACAGCCTTAAAAGAAGGTTAGGTCAAAGTTCGAGCGGGCCATGATATAGAGGAAGGTTTAAATTAATAAGGGATTCTTTGTGTTATACACCGCAACGCACGTGCAAAATATGTACTTATCAGTTTGCAAAAATAGATCCAAAATCAGAAGTGGGATAAACAAATTGCGAGGAGGCGATGGGAAATGACCGGTGTTTGCTAGGGCACGATCTCTAGACCATTTTAAATGTATTTGGAGCTTGAATCATTATTGGATAAGTTTCACATTCCCTTTTCTCCCTCTTTTTGCAAAATTTCTGACTTAAGAGGTATTGTGGAGCTTGTTTTCGGTGGTTGTTGTGTTTAGATCAAACCCATTAACTTATTTAAGGTTTTAGAGAGTTAAATCAAGCCTCTAATCTTAGGTTTATGAGTTTTATAGTGATTTAGAATTTGTGTTAAGGGTTTGGACGAACCTTGGTCATAATCTAAAGGTTTTGAGACAATATGAAAAATTAAATGATGAATTTGATATGTTGGGATGTTTAATAGAATGGTTAGAGTGTTTTAAAATTATTGATATTGTTAGATAAGGAATTTGCGTGTTATAGATACTTAAAACCCAGTGAATTCAAGGTTTATCCAAAATGATAATTGACAATTGTCACTTAATTGTGTAGACTAAGTATTGCTTGAGCTTTATCGTACATATAAAACGTGTGGAGTTAACGTTGAGCCATAAAAACCCTTTTGTGTGATAAAGGGTTAAGGTAACGAAATAATTTACACTAATTGATTATATTGCTTAATTGTTTATGAGTAGATAAGTATATTTGTTTACATGTGTTTCAAAAGCTTGACATGTTGCGAAAGATAATTTTCCTTTTGCATCAAAAATTACTTTCAAAATGATAAATATTTTTGAGTCCTCATGTGAAAAAAATAGTGATTTTTCACAAGTGTGTAAAATGTATGGAAAGTATAAGCATAATCATGTTAAGGGGTAAGAGTTCACCTATAGGAAGGAGTAGTGGAAATCCATATGGCATGTATCTTCTTAGTGTCTAGTGAGGCACGATGTTGGAGATTTTTTTCTTAGTATCCATGCAAGATATGGCGCTGGAGAGTGACACTCCTTAGTATCAATAGTGTGGTGTTAGAGTAACGACACCCCAATTCGTGTGCCATAGGGGGAGGCCATAGTCCAGAAGTGGAATAGAACACCTTTGACCGAATGATCCTATCACTGAAGGTAAGCTCAGACCATCGTAAATGTACACTTTATTTAGGAGCCTATGGTTTCAGTTAGGGTGATATAGAGGCTTGTATGGTAGAATGATTATGCTAGTAATAAATGACTTGTGTTCATGAAAAATAGTAAGTTGTAAGATGCTAAAAGTATGTTTTGATACTTAATAGCTTTACTCCCTTATGGTTGTGCATGTCAATTAATAGTGGTGAATTATTCTGTTACTAAAATGTTTATCTCACATTGTGGTTATATTTTATAAGTGAAGGCTTCGATAGGAACAAGGAAAAGGAAGGGGCAACTGAAGAGTAAAGAGTATTGTTGTATAGCTCTTCCCTTTCCTCTTTTTGGGTTTATAATGAATATTGCTAATATATAATGACAACTTAAGAATATGACATTCTTTTGTTATCGCTTATATAAGAATATGTGAAGGATGTGTATCTTGGCCCGAGAATTGATGTTGTTGTGATTCAATGAGTGTGCTTGGCTAAGATGTAATTACAAGTGATATATTTAAAATGATTTATATATCAAAATGACCAAATCGATATGTATGTTAAGTTTTATCTACCCCTTTGTGTTGTTGTAAGTTGGGGGTTTGGTGGTTATTCTGAGTATGAATGTTTATTTATGTGATATGATTGGCTTATTATGTTGTGTGTGATCCATTCGAGGTGATCAAAGTTATTCCAGAGCTAATGATATTTGGTAATGTGTTTTGAACACCTTTGAAAGTGTTTTGAGGTAAAAACGAACCATTTTGGGTTCAGGTATTCATCTTTTTAAAGGATGATTATTTGAATATGAGACTAGTGCTATTAGCTAAAGGGCTCAAAGAGCTTCGTGTGAACACTTGAATAGCTCAAATCGAACGTAGGATGGTGAAACAGTGTGCTCTAGAAGTTCGGAATGCTATTATGACAGCAATTTGTTGTCATGATAGTAGGTGCGTGCCATGGCGCAAATGCCTTCTAAGGGACTCGTCCCTCTATGTCATTCACCGCGGTGAGTGTGGCTTGTGTCGTTGCTGACGGACCAAATTTTTGAAAAATTTCCAAATTATTTCAGCTTGTTTTAAGTGCTGTATGATTTTCATGCTTCCATTATTATATTTGATTGATTTTAAATTATGGTTTGAGTTCAAATAATTTTTTTAAAAGGGTTTTATTGGGATCCCATGGTTTTAAATTAATTACTTTTAAATCCTTGGATTGTGGTAAGTTTTACTTGGGATTTTATTTAATCCTTATTATCACAACGACGTGTAAGTGTATTGTCCTGATAATATTAAAGTAGACATTACATTAATTACATTTTAAAATACTAGAAATATCTTATATTTTTTAACATCCACCCTTCAAAAAAAGCGTTCGTTTCACAAAGAAAAAGTTAAAAAGTTAGAAGAGTCATGGCTCCTGCATGTCCCCCTTGTCTCCACCACTGTATCTAATAAATATGGCCAAGATTACAAAGAAGGCCTATGAGATTGCTTATTTCAAAAACACTTCAAAAATTTGAGGGAAAACAATGCAAGAGTGATTCCTATGAAATACTTTTGAAGCACTCTTATAGGAAACAAAAAAAGTGTTCATATAAATCTTGTTTGTAGTAGTGTAGCAGTTCAGATTAGCACATAATTGGATTTAAATTTTTCAATGTTGTGTTTGGATGTAGGGATCTATTTTTAGATTTGAATTTGTGTCAAATTCAATATATGAATCCATAAAACTTTATAGATTTGGAATTAATCCAAATCCAGATTTATATTTTGTTGTAATTTCTTTATAATTTTAAATCTCTCATATACCCTAACTACATTCTTTGAAATGTCAACCACTCTAGCTTTCTTATTTTCTTACCTTTTCATTTCTCATCTCCCTTTTTCATTGTTTTTGAATTTAATTTTTTTTTTCTAGATTTTAAATGCAAGATTTTAAATTTAAGATTCAAATCTACTAATATAAATACTAACTAATGTTATTGCAAAAGCTTACTTGAAAGTATGAGACTCATTTGAGTAATAAGTTCCATTTGAATATTAGATGGCAGTGCTTACATGTATTCATTTTTCTCTCATAACATTGCACTCCCTCCATTTTTTATTTCAACAAACACTATTATATGATTCATTTTTTATTTATAAGAAAAACTAAAAAATTAAGAAAAAACATTTGTTATATTTTTTTTTCAAATTGTGCCTCATAGAATAAAATTTTATTTTCATGAGACAAACTTATTTAATTAATTACAAGGATAATTAAATATAAAATTTTAATTTCAAATATAACTATTATACTTAACCAACTTTCCTAAATGATAGAAGTTGGTTAAAACTAGTTTACATTTAAAATTTGAGTGAATTATATTACTTGTCATATAAGCTTTTGTCTGAAAAACGCACTAATGTTATTTATCGTTATGGATTAAATAGAATCAACTATAAGTGAGAAGATTTGTAATGGTTTTGTCAATGCAGGGACTAAAAACTGAAAAAAAAAATAGA